TTCTCATCTCTAAAAGAAATTAAACAGATCGTTGGAATACTTCCTGGCAAACTTTTTGCAACCATTCAACAACACAATACGTCCACACATCCCTAATTCCAGATGGTTTAGGAATTGCAATACCGCTCGTAAATATACAACAACTTTAATAAGATTGAGATTTGGCCACGCTTGTTATCCTGTTCATCTTGCTCATATCAAAAAATACAATTCAGACTTATGCGAGACCTAGATTATCTGAGACGAAGTTGTTGTAGATCGAGACTGGAGAGAGTTAGAAACGAGCAAATAAGAAAATAAATGAAAATCGAGCGAAATATTAATGATGACATGGAAAGAAAACAATTAATCTGGTTCGGACATGTCAACAGAATGCCAGAGTACAGATGGCCTATAAGAGTACTGGAATTGATCCCTTCTAAAAAAAGAAAGAGAGGACGACCACGGAGAAGTTAGCGAAACGATATTAATCAACAGAAAAAGATGGAATTACCCTTGGCAATCCAGTGACAATACAAATTATACAAATTTCTAATTGTATGCAATCGTTTTACTACTTTTATCTTCTTGTGTACAATATTATGAATCTTTTATCTTTGCGATTTATTTATTAAACAATTTTCAACACTTTTGAACCCACTGTATAATGTATACTGCTGGTTTTAGAAGCTACGGGGCAAATAAACGTACCGGATGAGAAATTGCCTCACGTTAGACGTTCTCCCAACGACACCCTCGAGACACTTAGATATATTCCATAAAATTATTTCTTACGTTTATATGCACAGCTCTGCAGACGTCGACACATTTTTCTAGAAACTCGAGAAAAATAAAAAAGTAAACCGTCAACCATCCAGCAGACGAAGCATACAAACAAAAGTAAACGGAAAAATTTTAATTAGACAAAAAGTAGAAAAGGAGAAACGTTGGATATTTTTCTATTTTTTAAGTGATTTATGTCATTGTTTCTACATAAACCTACAGTGTGTTATAATCTTAACATACATTTTAAACCATATATAAATTAATTAAATATTTTTGGAGTGTGTATGTTTTTAAATTAACTCTAAATTATTTGTTGTTTAATTGCAGAAATATTTAGCAAATCACATTTGATTTTTTGATTTTTAAAATATATTTAGAAAATCTAAACATTTTATCAAAATTGTTTAAAAAAATGTTAAAAAAAGGGATTCTTAAACAATACTATATTTAATAAAAAAATAGTATTTCTTGGGTTTAGGTTCAATCAGTAATTAATATTAAATTTGGAACTGTGGGGGATCTCTCTCAAATAAAGCATTGGGGCGCATATGTATACTATTTATTTATTTTTACGTAAAACAGACTACCGAGTACATAACAGTATTCATTCATAACCTAATCATAAAGCGTGGTGACTTCAACTTAACTTTAACCTCTTCCCCTAAAAACCCGCCAATCCCTGTCCTGTCAAAGTAAGGGACATGTGACAGTTCTTGTTTTTTAAATTGGCCTTCTATTCATGGTGTCACTGAATAAAGGCCTGATTCCTACATAACTAGGTTTTATTGTCCATTGAAATTTATGTCTTGGCGGGAAACCCTTGCCTTTGTCAATATTTTAAAATATACAAGATTAGGAACAGAAAGTTATTGTAAAATATATAAAAAATTTGGCAAAACGTAAAGCGATTGCAATATCTACCTATACAGAGGGATTCTTTGTGAGCATTAAACGAAACTATGGAAAAAACTGTATGACGAAGTAAACTCAACGAGAAATTTTTGAGAACTCAAAAATTTCTCGTTGAGTTTACTTCGCAAAAAAGCAAAAAAGACCTTTTGGATCCAATGCAGGAAGACAATGAAATATCCATGTTTTATTAGTGATCGCACCGACCAGTTGGAGTCCACTATGGGTTTCCTGTCCAACAAATTGACAAGAAGAGCTGATTTCATTAACATGCAGGTGAGAGCACAATTGTTAAACTTCCATATTTCGTCCGTACATTTCGATATAGCATTTATTTATCGACAAATGTCGAACATATTCATCCAACTTAAACATCTACTTTTCTCAACCATTTTGGATCAGTATAAATCTTCCCTAGTCAAAAAATACTTCTTTTTCAACAACAACGTTCTCAAACTTCTTTCTCTCGGACCAAAGTTGATATTACAACCCTCATTTAAGTACTACTCTGTACGCAATTTTGTAGCTGACATAGAAAACATACTATCTCACTCTGAAACCGACGACCTTCTTGAATTAAGATTATCTGTCAACTACATTCTCACTAACTTCTGACATAAGCTTTTTAACGCCAAAACCGATATTTATCTAATTTATGAAAAACGTCCACTTTTCCGTCCACGTCCACGTTCAAAGTTGGTCCCTTTTCATTTACCAATTCCCTTAATAATCGTACCTCACTTTATTTTAAATAAACACATGTAAGAAAACAAGCCACATGTAAAATTATGAAATTCTACAACGGATATAAAACAATCGAAAAGATTAGTGTGGTTTGATCCTTGAAAGAGCTTAAACCAACATCCAAATGAAGCCAGCGGTCAAAATAAAAAAAATCACCAACAAATAATATAAATGAACAATAGTGCTCATATACAATTGTTCGTGTGTTTTTTTTTTCTCGTTTAGTTGTTAATCTTTAATGTTAAGTTATCGTAGAGTTAATACTCTAGTATATATATATATATATATATATATATATATATATATATATATATATATATATATATATATATATATATATATATATATATATATATATATATATATATATATATAATAGCATTACGAGCCTAGTAGGCCCATGGCTTGAGATGTTATTGTTTTCCATTTCTTCCCTTATTAGTAGCCTTGTCCTTCCATCTTTCTATTCCCAGTGTTTCTAGGTCGTTCTCTCTTTCTTGCTTCCATCTACTTCTCGGCCTTTCTCTCCTTTTTTGTACCCATTGTATGCATCAGAATCATTTTTGGTACTCGAGAATTTGTCATTCGTTCTATGTGCCCTAGCCACCTGAGTCTCTGAGCCAGGTGGTACTACTCCCACTATACTAGGATTCCCACAAACATATTTCTCAAAACCTTCCTTTCCCATATTTCGAGCATACCTGTTTCGCCTTTGTTCAGTGTCCACACTTCACTAGCGTAGGTTACCACTGGTTGTATAACTGTTTTGTAAATCCTTATTTTGGCATTCCTAGATATCTGTTTACTTTTTAATAGCCTGTTTAATGAGTACACGCATCGGTTTCCTGCCATTATTCTTGATTGTAGCTCCTCTCTAATATTTGGTTTGCATGTGAACATCGACCCCAGGTATGTAAATCTTTCCACTGCTTTAAATATATATGCCTTTTCACCATCTACTTCTATTTTTAGATTTCCTCCTTTTTGTTCACTGTCATCTATCCATTCCATGTATTTTGTCTTACTTTCGTTGATGGCTAAGCCTATTTTCTTTGCCTCTTTATCTAGCCTCTTTACTACTTCTTGTAGCTCCCATTTGCTTCGTGCCAGTATTACTACATCGTCAGCAAAGGCTAGACATTGGTGCTTTCTTTGGTATAACAATCCCTCTTTGTTAACATTTGCATCTCTTATGACCTTCTCTAAACACAAGCTGAATAGTATCGATGATAGGGGATCTCCTTGCCTTACTCCTTCACTTACTTTAAATTTTTCCGACATTATATTATTTATTTTAACTCTGCTCTCAGTATTGGACAACGTTATTTGTATCATTCTTATAAGTTTTCTACTGATACCCAATTCTTCTAGTGCTTTGCTCATTTGGTTCCGTTTTATTCTATCGTACGCTTGTTTGAAATCAATGAAGAGGACCCTTGTCGGCAGATTGTGTTGGTAACTTTCCGCTTGCAATTCTCTGAGCGTAAATATCTGATCTGTTGTACTTCTAATAGGTCTGAAGCTACATTGGTACTCGCCGGCAATGTTTTCTATCACTCCTGCCAATTTGTCCTTTATACACGCTGCAAGAATTTTGTATGCAGTATTCAATAGTGATATCCCCCTGTAATTTTGACAATCTGTCCTATCGCCTTTATTATAAAGTGGGCATATAATTGCATCTGTCCATTCTTGTGGTAGTTGCTCTTTAATCCAAATCTCCTTTATTAATTTAAACATTTGCTCCTCTAGCGTTTTCCTCCATATTTGCACATCTCTGCAGTTATATTATCACTTCCTGGACTCTTGTTATTTTTTAATTTCTTTATTATTTCCTTTATCTCGTTTCTTAGGAAGGGGGTGTTTCTTCTGTCTCATTTATTTGGTTCCTATGTTTCTCCGTTATTATAGGCTGTGGCTGTTCTATCCTCTTTTTGTCATTTAGCAATTCATCGAAGTATTCTTTCCATCTACGGCTATTTCATTTTCTCCACTTATGGCGTTTCCCTCTTTATCTTTGTAAAATATTGTTTTCTGTTAATATCCTCTTTTATTCATTTTTTACTCCCTGATATAAATTTTTAATTTCTCGATTTTTGTAATTTTCTTCTATTTCTCTTAGCTGATTTTCCATGTACTTTCTCTTTTTCATTCTCAAAACTTTTTTTACGATTTTTCTTTGTTTTTCATATCTGTTTCTTATTTCTTTCGTATCACTTTTGATCATATCCATCCTAGAGTTTTTATAGCATCTTAAAAACATACAAATTGTTTTTGTAAGTATGAACCCTATTCGTTGTTTACTTATATTCTAAGATCATTTCTATTTGTAATGAACTAATTATGTTAAAAAAAAAAAATAAAAGCCAAACGTATTTAAGTAAAATAATGAAGTAGTTGACGACTTTCGTTTGCCAATTTTTGACCGATCAAACCTCTGCAATTCAATCATTGAATATATTGTAAATTTAGTTAACGGTCGTATTTTTTGCAATATATAAAAATGCATTATTAATTTTACAATAAATTTATATATATTTTTCGCCCTAAATATCTAATTTGAACGTACAAAAATAACTTACTTTTGCTAACGCGACGGCAGGAAACGAATCCCACGCCAAATCGTGATCTTCACCTCTTTTTCCCAGTCTCTGACCTCGTAAAATACGTGCAGCCGTGGCAGTTGCAACGCCCATGCCATCCCCTACGAAAAGAACTACATTTTTGGCGAACGGTCGACGCTCTGTTTCCATCGAGTATTGCAGGCGTTTCCGAAGGGCTATCCTGGCTTGTTCGTACCAATATTCTTGATCTGAAATAATAACTGAACGTCAATAGAGACTAGGATACTTTTAAACTAAAAACAAACATTTTTATAGTGTTTTGATAGTTAGACATTTTTGGGTGGGTTTTTTTTTTATGAAGTTCTTAAATCCTAGTAACAAAATAAAACCACTAAGTTGTTACTAGCTCCGTTTTTTTTAACATCCTAACTCTACAATTCTAAGTTACGATAAGATCTTCAGTGTTTTTAAATAGATAATATATGGTAGCTCATTATAATTTGTTTTTTTTTTAGCCTTCAAAAATCCAAATTAATTTTCTTTGGCGAAAACGTCCGGCGAAACAACCGAGACTCATTAGAGTCTTTCTTGCAGATTTCCCCAATATTTACGAGTTTATTTTTAAATTATCGGCAAAGATTAAATTTCTTTTCTATATATATATTTATATATAATATATATATATATATATATATATATATATATATATATAAATATATATATATATATATATAAATATATATATATATATATATATATATATATATATATATATATATATATATATATATATAGCAAAAAATACGACCGTTAATTAAATTTAAAAAATATTCAATAGTTGAATATCAGAGGTTGTATCGGTCAATAATAGGCAAATGAAAGTCGTCAACTACTTCATTGATTTAATCGAATACGTTTCGCTTTTTAGTTTTCAAAAGCATCATCAGTTCACTACAAATAAAAATAAAACGATGTAAAACATAAGTAAATAACCAAAAGGGTTCATACTTACAAAAACAATTTGTAGGTTTTGTAAAAGATGTTAAAAACACTCTACGATAACTTAACATTAAAAAATTTAAAAACTAAACGATAGACTCGAAACAAAAAACACACAGGAAAAAACTGAAACAGCACTATTGTTTATTTAATTTTTACCGATGGCTTCATCTCAATGTGGGTGTAAGCTCTTTCGACGACCCAACACAATAATCTCTTGGAATGTTTTCTATCGGTTTTAGGCTGTCATATTTGCACATGTGGCATGTGTCGTCCATACGTTTCTTCGGAAAGCAGTGAGGTACAATTATTAAAAAAGTTAGTAAGCAGAACGGGGACAGCCCTATTTTTCAAAAAGGAATATTTTTTTCTACTGAAAAAAAAAAAAATATTTTGAAAATAGGGAAAGAAGAAGGGGAATGAAGTTACTATCTTGTAAGTGTTTATTTTTTAATTATTATTTGTTGTGTATGATGAGAGAGTGATATATCTGGCTCAAGTTGTCAATGTCGGTTCTTTTATTTAGGGATGATGGATGTTTAAGAATTTGACACATTTCAAGGATAGAACGCTTATGATAATTTTTTTGTTTGCACAGTATTTTGGTATTAGTGAAGTCGATACTGTGTTTGGTTGAAATGGCATGTTGTGCAAGGGCACAGGATGGTTTTGAAATCCTAATGTCGCTTTTATGGGACGTTAGTCGACCTTGAGGAGAACGGCTGGTCTGGCCAATGTACTGTGCAAACAAAAAAATTATCATAAGCGTTCTATCCTTGAAATGTGTCAAATTCTTAAACATCCATCATCCCTAAATAAAAGAACCGACATTGACAACTTGAGCCAGATATATCACTCTCTCATCATACACAACAAATAATAATTAAAAAATAAACACTTACAAGATAGTAACTTCATTCCCCTTCTTCTTTCCCTATTTTCAAAATATTTTTTTTTTTTTTTCAGTAGAAAAAAATATTCCTTTTTGAAAAATAGGGCTGTCCCCGTTCTGCTTACTAACTTTTTTAATAATTGTACCTCACTGCTTTCCGAAGAAACGTATGGACGACACATGCCACATGTGCAAATATGACAGCCTAAAACCGATAGAAAACATTCCAAGAGATTATTGTGTTGGGTCGTCGAAAGAGCTTACACCCACATTGAGATGAAGCCATCGGTAAAAATTAAATAAACAATAGTGCTGTTTCAGTTTTTTCCTGTGTGTTTTTTGTTTCGAGTCTATCGTTTAGTTTTTAAATTTTTTAATGTTAAGTTATCGTAGAGTGTTTTTAACATCTTTTACAAAACCTACAAATTGTTTTTGTAAGTATGAACCCTTTTGGTTATTTACTTATGTTTTACATCGTTTTATTTTTATTTGTAGTGAACTGGTGATGCTTTTGAAAACTAAAAAGCGAAACGTATTCGATTAAATCAATGAAGTAGTTGACGACTTTCATTTGCCTATTATTGACCGATACAACCTCTGATATTCAACTATTGAATATTTTTTAAATATATATATATATATATATATATATATATATATATATATATATATATATATATATATATATACATATCAACTCTTATTTTAAACAAAACTCAAATTCTCAAATTATTTGCTATATTTACTTTATTAAACATGCAATCATAAATTGTTAGAGGAATTACTTTATGTACACATTGAACAGTTTTAGTATAATTGTATATCAATTTTATGTCCTTTTTACCATTTATTTATTCAAGTCAATCAATATTTATAGTTTTTAATATTTCATGCACTAGTAATTGGTTGAATAAATATTATACACAATTAAATTTTTATAAAAACTCAACATTATAAAACAAATAATTATTTTAGCAGCCTTTTGCACCATGTAAATTTCCCTTTAATATTTTGTTACTGTATAAATATGTTTGCTTTTGAAATATTATGTACATATTCTTTATAAATACGTAAAAAATAGTCAAACAGTTTGACTTTCGTAAGGGCTTCGGAACAGTGGAGGCTCTGTATAGTTTCACAACTCTGGCCCAAAAATGTCGAGACTAACAAAAGACCAACACAAATTTGTTATTTTGTTATATAGCATCAAATTTTAAATGTTAAACATGTTTTATATTACTCCATTTTTTTTAACGGCCTTGACATAGCAAATTGACCAGACTATTTTGTAATTTGTATCCACAGAACAACAATCAGATTCGAGTTATTACTAAATGTAAGTTAAAAGTGAATTCAAGAATTGATTTGTTTTGCCTTTTTTGATTGCTTAGTATTCGCAGATTCTAGGGTTAGTACATTATATTGTTTAAAGTTTACATTTACAATTTCTTATCTAATAAATACAAATAAAGATTTCTAAGTTTCCAGAGAAAATTAATTCATTTATGTGAAATGGGAAACAGATATTTAGTTTTCGTAAATTTTCATAAAAACATGCAATATTTTCTTGTTGGTTTACACATTCTAATAGGATATGTGTTAAATCTCCATATGTACTACAAGTACAGTTTGGAGTGTCTGTTAGACCCATTTTGTACATTCTTGAAGATGTTAGAGCATGATTTGACCTTAGCCTATTAATAGTTTTAATGAAACTTCTGTTGGACTCTGAATAAAACCATCTTTTTTTAAGAAGTGTGGGTTGCCAATATTTAAATAATGACTGTCTTTCGGATTTCCTATAATTGGCTTGCCATTTTAATTTGAGCCGATGTTTACTATATACATCTATATCTGACACCGGTAGAATATTGGTGTCTATGGTTTCTCCTCCGCTTCTTTTGCCAATGGATCTGCTATTATATTACCCTTTATCCCAGAATGGCCTTTGATCCATGCGATAATAACTTCTCCTGCGTGCTTTGAAACCTCGTTGTACAATTTTAATATTTCTATATCAAGTTAAGTAAATTGCTTGAATTTATTTGTTACACATAATCTTTCTACTGCACTTTTACTGTCTGTAAATATTACACAGTTCTTCATTTCCTTTGTCAAAGCGTGAGAAAGAGCAAACTTTAAACCCAGCATTTTGGATGTGTAGATGGAGGCTTCATCTGGTAACTTATATTTATGATGTTGTCCAGAATACTGTTGGTATACTGCGCAATCTGTGTTATTTCCTTTTTTTGAACCATCGGTAAACATATAATTATAATTAGACCATCTCTTCTAAATTTCTGCGTTAAAAATGGGGCTTTGGACATCATTGAGAAATTCTGTCTTGATTTTTATTGAGAACAGCACATGAGGCTTTTCATGTGCTGTTCCAGCACATGAAAAGCCTTCTTTCACCAGTTTCTTCCACCAGTTTATACTGAGAATCAGTATAAACTGTTGAAAGATGACCCTTATAAAGTACCTATAAATTTAGACAGATTTCTGTAGCTTTCCGCCACGAGTGGAGATTTTTTTTTTGAACCAATACCTTTTAGTCAAATCTAAAACAGCCAGATTGTGTATATCTTTGAGAAATACTTGGTCTCTGCTAATGGTACGAGCTATATATTTGTCGGTAAGATACTGCCTTCGTAAATTCAATGGCGGTTCAACAGCTTCAATTTCCATTACATTAACAGGTGTAGATTTGAGATACCCAAGGCTTCTTGTTTTTTTTCTTCTTTAAGTTTCATCTTCTATCGAAGGTTGGAAAACATCATGGCTATCCGGACTCTGTTGACTGCCACTCTAAAAAGTTCTGCACTACTGCATTCAAACCATTCCCTTAGGTTCTTAAGCCAGGATATTCTTCGTCTTCCCACATTTCGCTTTCCTCGGATTTTGCCCTACGTAATAAGTTGTAATAATGCGTATTTTTGCCCTCTCATCACATGTCCCAAGTACTCAAGTTTTCGTCTTTTAATAGTTAATATTATTTCCGCCTCATTTCCTATCCTCCTAGTTACTTCCATGTTTGACATTCTTTGAATCCATGATATTCGTAGGATTCTTCTGTACCACCAAAATTCAAAGGCGGCCAACTCATTCAGATGAACTTGTTTTAGTGTCCAAGCTTCCAAACCATAAAGAAGAGTAGAGAACATGTAACATCGAAGCATTCTCAGGCGTAGTTTTAACCTTATATCCCGACAACAGAGAAACTTTTTAAGTTTAATAAATGATGTACGTGCTATTTTAATACGTGTCTTAATTTCTTTGGTTTAGTCTACATCTGATG